CAGAGCATTTAGCTACCAAGCTCCTTTACTGTGGAATCAGCTTCCCATTTATGTTAAGGAAGCAGATACGGTCTCCACATTCAAGGCCAGGCTTAAAGCACTCGACTTTAATTTAGCATATAATTAGGTAATATATAATATATGGTGTATATATTATATATATATGCTGTATTATGTTATATATTATACAATATATGTATTATGTTTTGTATTGTGTTATGTTGCATATTATGTTATATATTATGCTATGTTGTGTATTACATATGATATATATGGTATGTATGGTATATGTGATGTATATGATATATAGTATATAATTAGGTTTGTTTGGATCGGTTTGCACACCTGGTGTGCAATCCATAAATCTTGGTGCTGTAACCTAGAATAGCCTAGCCGTGGCTGCTGCTGTCTCACCTCCTTTCAGATTACGCTCTCTTTATTCAAGGCTAGGTTTAAAACAGTCCTCTTTAGTTTAGCATATGGCTAGGAAGGTAAGACTCAGGGAAGGCTAAACTCCTCAGACTGTCAGTCAAGCTGCATAGGGAGTCAGTTTGCTGGGAGAAGTATGGTAACTTGAGCACTATCCTCTCCTCCTTCCTACTTTATCTGTTTAGCATTTTTAGGATTTTGACTGTAGTTTGTTCATTGCTATTCACCCGTTGTCCCATTGTCTGTTTCATGGTACGATGACGGGATCTTTGAGCCTGGCCTCCTCCATCTACACCTGCGGACTGCCCCGCCCGACCCGCCTGGGAGTGCTTCAGTCCTGCACCGGACCTGTCCACGTTCAGCGGCCACTGGTCCACGTTCTGTAGCTAGCTTAGGTCCTAGATCATTAGCCTGTCCGTCCGGAGGAGCGGATCCCTTTCTCAAATGGGTCTCCCTCCCTGTGGGTTTCCCTAGTTCTCCCCAAGGTTTCTCACTTTTTCCCACTGGGTTTTTTTAAGAGTTTTTCCTTGTCGATGCAGGAGGGTCTTTTTGGACAGTTAGTGTCCAACAAAAAGGATTGGTGATGATCAGGACACTTTAGCATTCTACAACATGTATGGACATTTTCTTCTGTGTGTGCTTTATATTTTTCATGTGTTTTAACTGTTGATTCTCTGACCTGTGTCGGTGATTTCAATGGTTTTGTTAAGTCCTCTGAGATGACTTCTGTTGTGACCTAGGGCTATACAAGAATAAATTGTATTGTATTGTATTGTATCATGCTTTTAAGGGTCTTATATGTGCCTCGCTGTGTCTTGACTCCATTTTATTCTTTTTTGTCTGTGTGTGTGCTTTGTGGTGTTGGTGCCCCTGGTGTCTGTATTCCAATGTAGTTTTTTTCTGCAAATGGCAATAAGCTGATTCTGAGTGGAGATGGTGGCTGTAACTGTTTTGTCCTGCGCCTGATGACCCCAGCGCAGTCAGTCGGATCCTGATTTTGTGATTCAGGATCTGATTTTTAGTTTGTCATCACAATTGACTGACTACCAGATGTCCATCAACACAAGCAGAGTTTTTTTGAAGATCAGCTAAAACAATCATTTGGACGATGTGTCAAGTGCGGGTCTCATTGCTGAAGATGTCGTTACACTACAGAACGAAGGTTTAACAGCTGGAGTTGCCACTGGCAAGCTCAGCCAGCTCTGTGTGGGACCAAAGGGGCCGGGAACCAGCTTCTAATGACATCAGTGTTCTTCAGTGGCATCCATTTTGCAAAGTTTGAGAAGTTTTGCTGTAACATGTAGTCAAAATAAAATAGTGAAGAGACGTACGCAGCACTGAGGAAGAAATTTGTGTTTCCTATCAAGAAAACCTGGAAAGTCCGAAGCACACACAAAGAGACAGACAGTATTCTTAAGGGGAAAGGAAAGTGTCCGTCGAGTCCAAGTTTGTTATTTGTGAATGAAGCAGCAAGGGCTTCTTGCTGCTTCAAAAGATAGATACTTTTTTGATCCCCGTAGGAGGTACCAACTCGGTACCAGCCTCAACCCCCTTCCCTGGACTAAATACTTTTATTTTTCAGCACTTTTTACACCTCTGCACATTGTGTTTTCCCTGATTATATACATTTTTCACATTTTTAATGCTGTGTTTAAAATAAAGCTGTCCTGTGACATCCGAAAACTCTGCACCCACTGATCAGAGAAAGCACCACAACTTTCCATCATTCGTCCCTTGTTTTGTGAGCCCAAACAATAGGAGTAGCACGTTGCACACATTGGGGAAGAATCTAAGACTGTAAATTGCATTAAAGTTAATGATTGAAACTAAAGTAAAAAGATGACATTAGTACAAACATGCGTTTGGTTTTTAATTAAATAAAAGTATCTTACCATTTTTCTCTGTGTACGACGCCGAAATGCATCCTCAGCTAAGGAATGCTCCAATAAAGCAATTCTCCAAAGAATTATTTACCTCTTTTTTTTTCACTTTCACACAAACCAGAAACGCCGCCACCACCTCAGCCCTGTCCATCCTTCCATGTTGTTCGTTGTTATGAATTGTGACCCGCCTGAGTGACATCATGGTCGTAAATGTCAGCCAACAATTACGCTGGGATCGAAAATCATGATGTCGCCCAGGGATCCTGGGGGGGGGGGATTTTTGAATTTAACAAGAACAACAAACAAACATATACAAACAAAGCTTTTACATGACACACATACCAAGGAGCGACACGGAAGGGCAGGGGGCTAGACAGATACAAATTGGTTCTTGAGGGCTTAGGTGGTTGTGCATAGTGTTTGGATGTGTGTAGTGTGTTCAGGTGTACGCTACATAAGACAATTTTGAGATAAGGTTCGGTGAGAAAGATATATGAAGGCAAGGTGGAAAGATAAAGTAAAATAAATAAAGATAAAAATAGTGACATAAACAATTAATAATAACAATGATAGAAATAATGACAATAATAATATGAGTTAATAACATAATAGTATAGTGATAATAAGGACACAGTATTGCAATAATGGGGAAGTGATAGGCGAGGTGAAGTAATGACAGTTTGGCAGGATACATATTGACATACATAAACTATAATTATTTTTATATATATATATATATATTAGTGCTGGGACTCGATTAAAAACTTAATCCAATTAATTAGAGGCTTTGTAAACAATTAATCGCAATTAATCTCATTTTAATTGCATATAAATATTTTACCTTAGAACAGTGAGAAGTAATACATATTGATATTACGCATGCGGGAGCCAGCTGCAGAGTTTCATCGCTCCCCCTTCTCCTTCCCACTTTTCTAACTTTTTTGAATACTTATTTTTTTTATACTGCTGTTATAATACAGCCATGTGAAGCTAGTGTCCACTTAGGAACTGAGACCAGCCGTGTTTTTCCACCGTTTCCCTTATCATAAACGTGGATTATACCTGTGAACGGAAATGTGAACGGAGATGTGCCCACGCGCTCCCATTGTTTACAATCGGGACCAGCTGCTGGCGCTGCGGAGAGTGTAGGTCCCTCCGGGAGACAAACTATTCCTGCGGAGATTTTACAGAAAACACCCAGAGGCTCCCCCACAAGCTCGGGCTCCTTCCCCCCCAGTGAGGTGACGTTCCACGTCCCAAGAGCCAGATGTTGTGTGTGCGGACTGGGTCGCCGAGGTCTCCGCCTTCGACTGCCGCCCAGTCCTCTCAGCACCGCGCCACCACGGACCCCTCTGCAGGTGGTGGGCCCACAGGAGGGACTGCCCACGTCGTCCCTTCGGGCTGAGCCTGGCCGGGCCCCGTGGCCACCAGGCGCTCCCTTGCGAGCCCCAACCCAAGGCCCGGCTCCAGGGTGGGGCCCCGGCTGCGCCATGCCGGGCGACGTCACGGTTTTCATTGTCGTGCTGTCCATTGTTGGCTTCGGACTGCGCTTTGTCTGACTCGTCACCTGAGACCTGTCTGCCATGGGAGACCCTACCAGGGGCATGAAGCCCCAGACAACATAGCTCCCAGGATCACCCGAGTACTCAAACTCCCCCACCACGTTAAGGTGGCAGTCCAGGGGGGACTGCCACCTTAACCTTACTGCATCACGGTAAAAAAAACAGAACATTCACTCACGCTGCTAGCAATTGTTTTGTGGGGATTTGTGTGTGTTTTTTTTAGGCTTTTTCCCTGAATAAGTTTAGTTGAAACTTGTGACATAGTAGTTGGACTCGGATCGGGTCAGAACATCCTGAGACTGTTGCAGAGACTGCCTCATTCTCAGCATTGTCAGTGTGAAAAAAGTTACGTATTGTTCACATGTGAGTCTGTCGTGTACAAACTACACGATGTGCCTCCTGTGTTATCCTTTCGGTGCGTGTTGTTTGCGATGTGTACACTTTGCTGCAATGACGCTGGACTTAAAACAATTATTTTTCGAAAAGATTGTTGTTCGGATTGTTCTTTTACATAACTCTGGTCCTCCATGGTTCTTTTACATAACTCTGGTCCTCCATGGTTCTTTTACATAACTGTGGTCCTCCATGGTTCCTTCTTCCAACTTGTGAAGTCATGGTGAAAGCAACGATATCAGTAGCTCATGTGAAACGAAAACGCGATTCTTGCATCCTTTTTGTCCCTTATCCGCCACTGTTTTCCAAGATGGCGCATTGACATGGAGAGCACTCCTCTCTCATGGACATGGAAATTCTAAGCTTATGAATACAATTCAAAAAACATGGTGGAGGTAAATATTCTTAAAAGGGTTACTAACATGTTTTTTTCATATGGAGTAGCTGTAAACATTACACAGGGAGGTTTTAAAGTATGCCTGTCATCAACCTGTTTTTGTGCTGGCAGTAAGTCCTGTTTTTGTTCAACTTTTTATGCACTGTATATTTTTTGCACTGTCCACTGTTTGTCATGGTGTAAAAAAAATACAGAAGTCAAAATTTTTCCCAACTAAGGCATAGTTTTTGCTACTTTTTTAAACAAAACCCTTCACACCCATAGAGTTACATTGGCACAAGCTGAATTCTCTAACATGAATGCAACCTATTCTCAAAAATATTAATAAATAGTCTCTTACTTAAAGTGCGGGGGGTGGAAGGCAGACACAAGTGCACCCACGTAAATGGACAGGATGGACACAATAACGCAGGCGAGGAAGATGGAGGCCAATTTGTTCACGTATTTGACTCCCACAAAAACCAGCAGCGACATGAGCAGCAGGCACATGGAGCCGTATATCCGCATATTGTTTAACATGGCTGCTCCCTCGCCGTCCGGACCTTTGGCGGAAAAGATGGCCGCCTCTGGAGCAATGTACATCTGGGAGAAGGAAAAGGGGTGAGAAGTGTCAGACTTTTGTCTGTGACCGTTCTGCAGGCTCATGTTTGTTGACCTGTGTTGAAATGCCTTGTTGTCCTGGGACAACAGTGAAAGGTTTACAAATTTCAATGCGATTAAAATTAAAAAATGACATTCACCTTTAAAATATTTCTGAGCCTTGAATAAATAACAAGAAATACGGATTATTTTTTCTGTCAAATTAAATTTTAAATGGTCCTGAATTCATCTATTTGATTTTTTTTATATCTTAAATATTTTTGTCTACGAATTTCAGTCACTGATAATCAATGTATTAATGTTTTTCCTTTCAAAATAAATATAAAATAAAAATTAAATTAAATTAAATCTACACCTGCGGACTGCCCCGCCCAACCCGCCTGGGAGTGCTTCAGTCCTGCACCGGACCTGTACATTCTCAGCGGCCACTGGTCCACGTTCTGTAGCTAGCTTAGGTCCTAGATCATTAGCCTGTCCGTCCAGAGGAGCGGATCCCTTTCTCAAATGGGTCTCCCTCCTTGTGGGTTTCCCTAGTTCTCCCCAAGGTTTCTCACTTTTTCCCACTGGGTTTTTTAACGCAGTGCAGGAGGGTCTTGTTGGACAGTTAGTGTCCAACAGAAAGGATTGGTGATGATCAGGACACTTTAGCATTCTACAACATGTATGGACATTTTCTTCTGTGTGTGCTTTATATTTTTCATGTGTTTTAACTGTTGATTCTCTGACCTGTGTTGGTGATTTCAATGGTTTTGTTAAGTCCTCTGAGATGACTTCTTTTGTGACCTAGGGCTTTACAAGAATAAATTGTATTGTATTGTATTAAGAAGTCTAAAATTTCTGCAAAAAAAACTATTGTGAAACATTCACATTACGAGTGTTCTGACGAGTTGTGTGCTCTGTCAGTTGGTCTGCGCTAGGGTTTAATATTATTCCCAAAATGAGATGTATCCAAAAAAAGTTGTTTTTAGCCCAAGTAATATATGATATCACTCAAATATGTATACTATTAAACGTAAATCCATAAAAAGCTGCCATCTCCGCTCGTGCTTCACCAAGAGACTTGCTAGCTTTGCTAAAGTAGCCATCTAGCGTTTTCAGACGTTTTGTTGATGGGCTTTCTTCAAGAATTTCACTATGCTGAGATTCTAAATGTCTGCGCAATCCACTTGTCGACCAGTGACATGCGGTGAGGTTTGGAGACTGACTTCAGCTCAATCAGATGAACATAATATATCATATATATCATATAAAATCAACGGGACCTACAGAGTGGCTTATTCACAATTAGTTTGGCTACAGCAGAAAATGTTCCATGCCCGCATTGTTTGCTCATACAAAACGCAAAAGTTCGTAAAAAGCACATTTCCAAGTGTGTTATGGGCATTACCTTAACTAGTTATTAATGAACAGCACAGACCAGTTTCATGTTTAAGTCCAGATAATAGTTTGAGCATAGATATGTAATCCTCCATTTGGAAATAAGTCCAATGAGTTTTACAGAGTAAAACAAAACGGGTGCCTCCTCCATAAACTCCGTGTTTCGCTGGAGCCGACTCTCGGGTGCATCCAATTTCTAATTCTTACCCTTCACCTCTCTTCCTTATCATTCATATTGTCATTGGAAGCATATTATTATCCTAAATGCATTTTAAATCATCTTAAAATATGTAATATGTATGTTATCCAAACCTGTTGCTGCCCTTAGTAGATGAAAAAAAGAAAGCAGCTTTGTGATGGAATTGGATTCATCCGAATTCTGCGCTCACATGCGCCCTCTACCTTGAGGCTGGCCTCAGTGGGGGACATTACAAGCCGTAGTTGAGTGCGATGAAGACCCATATTTGTAGTCAAAAACACAATTTATGAGCCATCCTCTCAGCTGTAGACATGTTGATTGCACAGTGCCTTGCAAAAGTATTCACCCCCCTTGGCTTTTTACCTATTTTGTTACATTACAGCCTTTAGTTCAATGTTTTTTTTTATCTGAATTTCATGTGATGGATCAAAAAAACAGTTGGTCTAAGTTAGTGAAGTGAATTGAGAAAAATATATACATTAAACTATTTTTCAGAAATAAAAAACTGGAAATTGGCATGTGCATATGTATTCACCCCCTTTGTTATGAAGCCCATAAAAAGCTCTGGTGCAACCAATTACCTTCAGAAGTCACAAATAGTGAAATGATGTCCACATGTGTGCAATCTAAGTGTCACATGATCTGTCAGTACATATACACACCTTTTTTGAAAGGCCTCAGAGGTTGCACCACCTAAGTAAGAGGCACCACTAACCAAACACTGCCATGAAGACCAAGGAACTCTCCAAACAAGTAAGGGACAGTGTTGTTGAGAAGTACAAGTCAGGGTTGAATATCCAAATCTTTGATGATCCCCAGGAGCACCATCAAATCTGTCATAACCAAATGGAAAGAACATGGCACAACAGCAAACCTGCCAGGAGGCCGCCCACCAAAACTCACGGACAGGGCAAGGAGGGCATTAATCAGAGGCAGCACAAGGCAGCTAAGGTAACCCTGGAGGAGCTGCAGAGTTCCACAGCAGAGACTGGAGTATCTGTACATAGGACGACAATAAGCCGTACGCTCCATAGAGTTTGGCTTTATGGCAGAGTGGCCAGAAGAAAGCCATTACTTTCAGCAAAAAACAAAATGGCATGTTTTGAGTTTGCGAAAAGGCATGTGGGAGACTCCCAATATGTATGGAGGAAGGTGCTCTGGTCTGATGAGACTAAAATTGAACTTTTTGGCCATCAAGGAAAACGCTATGTCTGGCGCAAACCCAACACATCACATCACCCAAAGAACACCACCCCCACAGTGAAACGTGGTGGCAGCATCATGCTGTGGGGATGTTTTTCAGCAGCCGGGACTGGGAAACTGGTCAGAGTTGAGGGAAAGATGGATGGTGCTAAATACAGGGATATTCTTGAGCAAAACCTGTACCACTCTGTGCGTGATTTGAGGCTAGGACGGCGGTTCACCTTCCAGCAGGACAATGACCCCAAACACACTACACACACGCACGTGTCAAAGTAAAGGCCCCCTTGAATTATCTATGGCCCCCGGGACATTGCCTGCCATTGAGGCAATGTATTGACCCCTTAAGCTCGCTAGCCCCCGCCGGCGGCAGCAAACGAGGAAAAAAATACATCTGCTGGCAATAGCAGATGTATTTTGAACTTCATAAGCCACAAGCTATATATCATTTTAAAGCTTATTTTCTCAGCTATATTTATATGTAAGTGTAAACGATATCAGACTTTGCATTTCGTCTTCTGCTGCTCCAACAAATTAGACTTTCCCCATCCTTGCTCAGTCTCTTTCTCTCCGTAACTGTTCATTGAAGAAGAACATCCACTTGTATTTCCCAAAGTATAATCCATTCTGCAGATTTAATCAAAAAACGCCCCGAAAAGAGGTCCAGACTGCTTTTTTACATTTCACCAAGTTTGAGCTTGTTTTTTTTTTACTATTTTCATATTCTCAGATGTCTATTACATCTAATGTGTACAGTATGAGGATTGGCTTTAGAGCATATTTTATCGAGCCAGCAGGTGTCACCGGCACTGCCTCTGGATGTTGAGAAACATTGAACCAGTCCAGCCCTCGGCGCGTAGCAAACATTTTTTTTGGCCCTCTGATGTATTTGACTTGGACATGCCTGGTTTAAGGGGAAACATGTAACTGTGTTGGAATTGTAGACCTCCGAAACAGGTATGTCTCGAGGCACAAGTCTGGGGATGGGTACAGATGGAAGAAGTTTAGAACCACCAGGACTCTTCCTAGAGCTGGCCGGCCATCTAAACTGAGCTATCGGGGGAGAAGGGCCTTAGTTGGGAAGGTGACTAAGAACCCGATGGTCACTTTGTCAGAGCTCCAGCGTTCCTCTGTAGAGAGAGGAGAACCTTCTCTGCAGCAATCCACAAATCAGGCCAGTCTGTTAGAGTGGCCAGACGGAAGCTGCTCCTTAGTAAAAGGCACATGGCAGCCTGCCTGGAGTTTGCCAAAAGGCACCTGAAAGACTCTCAGCTCTGGTCTGATGAGACAAAGATCAAACTCTTTTGGTGTGAATATTAGGCGTCATGTTTGGAGGAAACCAGGCACTGCTCATCACCAAGCCAATACCATCCCTACAGTGAAGCATGGCGGCGGTGGCAGCATGCTGTGGGGATGTTTTTCAGCGGCAGGAACTGGGAGACTAGTCAAGATAGAGGGAAAGATGAATGCAGCAATGTACAGAGACATCCTGGATGAAAACCTGCGCTAGAGCGCTCTTGACCTCAGACTGGGGCGACAGTTCATCTTTCAGCAGGACAAAGCAGAACTCTCCTTCAAGGCTTATATAAGCCAAGCAACTAAAACGGCGTACTTCCACTTACGGAACATCGCTAAAATTAGGAATTTCCTTCCTAAAAGTGACGCGGAAAAACTCATTCACGCGTTTGTCACCTCAAGGCTCGACTACTGTAACGCTTTACTGGCAGCGTGCCCTAAAGCCTCTTTGAAGAGCTTCCAGCTCGTTCAGAATACAGCAGCTAGGATCTTAACAGATACCAAAAGGAGGGAGCACATAACTCCGGTGTTAAAATCACTCCACTGGCTCCCTGTGGAGTACAGAATAAAGTTTAAAATCCTACTCTTAACATATAAAGCCATAAATGGCTTGGCTCCTTCTTATCTCCAAGACACGTTAGTGTCGTATCAACCAAGTCGAGCGTTGCGCTCACAAAACGCCAGACGTCTGGTGGTCCCTAAGGTCTCAAAGGTCACTGTTGGTGGCAGAGCATTTAGCTACCAAGCTCCTTTACTGTGGAATCAGCTTCCCATTTATGTTAAGGAAGCAGATACGGTCTCCACATTCAAGGCCAGGCTTAAAGCACTTTACTTTAATTTAGCATATAATTAGGTAATATATAATATGTAGTGTATATATTATATATATATGCTGTATTATGTTATATATTATGTTATATATTATTCAATAATGTATTGTGTTATGTTGTATATTATGTTATATATTATGCTGTATGTTATTCTTTATTCAAGGCTAGGTTTAAAACAGTCCTCTTTAGTTTAGCATATGGCTAGGAAGGTAAGACTCGGAGAAGGTTAAACTCCTCAGAGTGTTAGTCAAGCTGCATAGGGAGTCAGTTTGCTGGGAGAAGTATGGTAACTTGAGCACTATCCTCTCCTCCTTCCTACTTTATCTGTTTAGCATTTTTAGGATTCTGACTGTAGTTTGTTCATTGCTATTCACCCGTTGTCCCATTGTCTGTTTCATGGTACGATGACGGGATCTCTGAGCCTGGCCTCTTCCATCTACACCTGCGGACTGCCCCGCCCGACCCGCCTGGGAGTGCTTCAGTCCTGCACCGGACCTGTCCACGTTCAGCGTCCACTGGTCCACGTTCTGTAGCTAGCTTAGGTCCTGGATCATTAGTCTGTCCGTCCGGAGGAGCGGATCCCTTTCTCATATGGGTCTCCCTCCCTGTGGGTTTCCCTAGTTCTCCTCCAAGGTTTCTCACTTTTTCCCACTGGGTTTTTTAAGAGTTTTTCCTTGTCGATGCAGGAGGGTCTTGTTGGACAGTTAGTGTCCAACAGAAAGGATTGGTGATGATCAGGACACTTTAGCATTCTACAACATGTATGGACATTTTCTTCTGTGTGTGCTTTATACTGTATTCTTCATGTGTTTTAACTGTTGATTCTCTGACCTGTGTTGGTGATTTCAATGGTTTTGTTAAGTCCTCTGAGATGACTTCTGTTGTGACCTAGGGCTATACAAGAATAAATTGTATTGTGTATTGTATTGTACAAAGACCCTAAGCACGCAGGCAAGATAACAAAGAAGTGGCTTCAGGACAACTCTGTGAATGTCCTTGAGTGGCCCAGCCAGAGCCCAGATTTGAATCCAATTGAACATCTCTGGAGAGATCAGAAAATGGTTGTGCACAGATACTCCCCATCCAACTTGATGGAGCTTGAGAGGTGCTGCAAAGAGGAATGGGCAAAACTGCCCAAAGACAGGTGTGCTTGTGGCATCATATTCAAAAAGACGTGAGGCTGCAATTGCGGCCAAAGGTGCATCAACAAAGTATTAAGCAAAGGCTGTGAATACTTATGTAGATGTGGTTTCTTAGTTTTAGTTTATTTTTAATTAATTTGCGAGAATCTCAATTCTCCCATTCTCCCAACCCATTATGACAAGTTGTCATAATGGGTTGTTGTGTGTAGAATTGTGAGAAAAAACATTAATTGAATCAATTATGGAATAAGGCTGTAACATAACAAAATTTGGAAAAAAGTGAAACACTTAATACTTTCCGGATGCACTGTAATTGGAATATTAAATTATTTATATATTACATAATTTATATATATATATATATATATATATATATAATATATATATATATATAGATTTAGTCAGCCACCGATTGTGCAAGTTCTCCCACTTAAAATAATGACAGAGGTCAGTAATTTTCATCATAGGTACAATTCAACTGTGAGACAGAATGTGAAAAAAATCCAGGTATTGTAGGATTTTTTAAGAATTTATTTGTATCTTGAGAACGGTGATCAAAAATCCCAGAACCACACGGGATTCACCACATAGTAATCGTTTTGACCTCTGTTATTGCCAACAAAGGTTATATTACAAAGTATTGAGTTGATTTTTTGTTATTGACCAAATATTTTCCACCATAATTTACAAATAAATTCTTTAAAAATCCTACATAGAATGTGAAAAAAAGTGTGTACAGTGTGAAAATGAAGTGTACATATGATAATTACAGACCTCTGTGCAAGTTCTCCCACTTAAAATAATGACAATCGGTGGCTGACTAAATACTTTTTGCCCCACTGTAGATGTATAATGTATTGTCCGATTAACATTTAAATGTGTTGATTGAGTGATATGTGTTATTGAGCGTGGCTAGCTTTGATAGCTTCTCTCGCTCAAACAGAAGTTATGAATGACAGGTGGTGAAAGCCCGTTGTGACGAAGTATGCGAACTACTGTCCGAAGTAATCTTAGTATTTTACACACCTGAATTACAAGCACAGAGTGCTTTGCCAAAGGGCAGCGGCCATTATTGGTTTCTACAAGCTCAGTAAGCAAGAACCTTTTCAATTATTGTCAATTTATTATGCAGTTATGCAGCATTTATTATGCAGTTAGTGCAGCAGTAGAATGCTGCTGTGAGGAACTGCATAATAATTATTAAATATTAGAGTATTTAAACTAATAATCTCTCTTCCGCACGTCTTGGACCATTGACCAGGCGCGTGCACGGAAAAGTAGGCGCGGCTTCAAGACCCATCAGAAAGGAAGGGGGAGGGAGCTTGGGGCGTTTTTTTTCAAATCATGTACCTCTTTTCCCGACAAAGTCCAAACTATCACTTTAACTGCAAATGAAAACATGCTAAGTTTAGTTTTAGTTAGGCATTTTGCATGTTGTACATACTGTATATTAGAGTGTTACCAATTTGTTTATTTGTTTCATTTGCTAAGCCCCCGCTGAAAAATCAAGGCAGTACTCTCACGACAAAGCAGCTTCCTGTGGTCGCTTCACCTGCAGGAGGATCAATAATGCTGTTGCTCTTTGAATTTGGGTGGCAGCTGATTGCCGTCACCCCAACCCTTTAGAACTGATGTAGATGTTGATGTATATCCATGTATATCCACTTTTCCACAGTGGAATACATGTTTTTTTGTTAATTCCTTTACATGGAGTCCCGTGGGAGTGTTTCCTCTTTTTAAAGTAACACGAGTGAGCACTAACAGTGGAAACTGCTACACGGGGAAACTAAGGCCGTACCTGATAGATCAAAATACTGTGTAACGCTATCAACAATAACACTGTCCTTTGTTTCTATAAATGTTCAACATGTGATGGTTTTCCTGTACATAAACAAACACACACAGCCTAAATAAATAAACAGGAATATACAGCAATAATGATATGCAACAAGAAATTTTTGAAGAAAAGCTGGAGACGTCACTTTACCACATTCACCCGAAATGTTCAAAAGACTAACTTATCAAATGAATGTAGTAAAATCTTGTTATTCGCCATGAAAACAATACAATTCATTCATTAGATATCCCATATCAACCTAGTAGATTCATGTTCTCAACCCAATAGACCTGCTGAAAGCTAGCGCCTGTCTTTAGCCCAGTAAAATGACGCATGTGCAGACCAACTGACAGAGCACACAACTCGTCAGACTACTTTGTGTCATGCTAATTTTTCCCCAGCATATTTTTTTGCGGCAAATTTAGACTTTAATTTAAGCTCTTGAAAATATACAGTATGCATTGAAATTTTTTCATTTTGAAATGAAAAACATTATGAAATTGATAATCTGTGACTGAAAGACAAAAATATTCAAGATGAAATTGTAAACTGAATTTTTAGTGACTGAAATGCAAATACAAAACTATTAAAACATGCTTTTTCAAGGTTAAACGTATCAAATAGAAAATTTCAAGCTCAATTGAAAGTTAACATCTGATGACACAAAAAATCTTCCATACAAGTCCTTTTGACACACCAGCTCGAGACGCTTTGAGTGGAAGGAAAGGGACACCAGGGAGTTTATGCGCATTGGAAATGAGGCCAACAATTCCATCCTTTGAGGCGATTTTGGGATGAATTAAAATGCATTGGTTGAAATAGTACTCGGGTCTGATCTTGATCCAAAATGATAATTTAAAAGCACATTTATTGACAATAAGTATTTCCTTTGTTAGTTTTTTCCTGGTCAAAAAAGTCGGGCACCTCCTTTTCCAGCTCCAAAGAGGAACAATGTAGTAAGACGGTCTCTCACCAGGAGGATCTCGATGGCTCCCAGGATGTACATGGCTCCAGCAAATGTGGTCCCCAGATAAAAACACAAACCGACAGCTCCTCCGAACTCTGGACCCAAAGAACGGCTGATCATGAAGTACGAACCTCCAGCTGCGACCAAAGAAGAGGGGAGAAACCAGGGGATGAGGAAGGACAAATGAGGACGAAAACATTTACCGTCTTAATTTTCTATAAATATGTAACCGCACTGTGAGCCTTTCTGGTATCCGAGTCTGCTGAAGTTGCAGCACAGACACACTCTCTAGGATACAACCTCATATGCTGGAATCATAACCGAAGGGGGAGACAACAGCCCTCAGGACATTTATCAGCCTTCAAAGAGAACAAAGTCTGAAGTGTGGTCATATTTTGAATTTTTAAAGACTGCTGATGGAAGACTGCTACAGTATCTTGTCTGCAGACCGTGCAGGAAAAAGTTTCCGCTACTCTATAACCAGTGTTGGGTAAGTCACTTTGAAAAAGTAATAATCTACAAATTTCATCTAAAAAAAAGTAATTAGTTACATTACTTTCTTACTTATGCAAGCAAGTAACTACATTACATTACCTTTGGATTACTTTGTCACAAAAAAAGAACATGATCATGTTTGTACGTTTGCTTTAATAAAGTAATTTAAATAAAGGTCAACTACAAATAAGTTATTGGGGCTCAAATGGCAGAACAATAACATTGAAGTAATCGAGTCAGGACAATTGCTGTAGCACTTCCCCAGATCGTTTTGACGCTGCAAGTGTTTTAAAAGGTTTGAGGATGAGATGGCTTAGTTATAGTTAAAATGATGCATATCTTGACAGGCAGGTCAGTCTATGGTTCTCTTATTTTCCCCGTTTGCTCTGTGCTTACTGGGGTTTGATGTGGAGTCCTTCACTACTTTTCTTCCCACGCAGTTTACAGCGGACGCTGATACTTTGGTCACGGCCTCGTACTCAAATTAATGGCGGTATGTCCTTAATTCATTTGAGTCGAGGAGACAAAAGTCAGAGCATTCACCGCTTTGAAACGCATTGTAACGCTGCTTGCTTAGAATTAAGTAAATGTAATCACATTACTTTTATACGAATGTAATCCCTTACTTAACTCAGAAGAATCGTATTACAGTGAGGCGCTACTTTTATCGCGTTACTGACTAACACTGTCTACAACCAATGCAAGGTAAGATAATAACATTTTGGGAAGCCTCGGACACAAAGCCATGACGCGTGTCCAAGAGATGTTGTGAAACGGGGTAGATCGAGGCATGATAGTGAACGAGATAGTAGTCAAGAGACAAGCAAAATGACTCGGATTGACAGTGATAATGAATTTAAGGTTATTTTAAAAATTATAGGCAAAGATGCAAGGAGCATCAACCCTATCAAATTGTCAGAAGAATTGAGAGATAACGTCTGAGTTGTACTGATTGCCAAATCAGAAGCGCAGAGAACTAAGGCATTAAAGGTCAAACAAATGTTTAGATTACCAGTAGGGAGCGGAGCCTGGAAATCTCAGACAGAGATATTGTTCAAAATGTAAAAGGTGCTGAGGTTGAGTCAGCCCGAAGGTTCAACCAGACTGGAAATGCTGTGTTTCTGACCTTTAGACAAGATACACTCCCAGAAAGGGTGACACTGGGGTACACGTGTTATCCTGTTAGACAGTACAATCGCCCCCCACTTCGGTGCAACAAGTGCCAGCGCTTTGGCCATGTGGCAGCAGCCTGTCTGGGGTCAACAAGGTGTGGGAAGTGTGGAGGGAGCCATACTATCAGTGAATGCACTGTGGAGCAAGCTAAGTGCTGCAATTGTGGGGGCAACCACATGCCTTCTTCTCGAGAATGTGAATTTCATAAAAGAGCAGTAGAAGTTGAGAAGGTAAAAGTAGCAGGCAATTTGAATTATGCGGAGGCAATCAAAAAAGTGAGTGCAGAAACATGTATTTGCAACGCAGTTGTTCAAGACCTTTATGGTCGATGCCCTATGGGCTTCCAGGAGTGTGTCCAAAAAGGCAGAAATGGTTAAACTGGTGGAGGATGCCATTGAAAGATTTTTGGGGGAGGTTATGGGGGGCCCCCTGCTTTGTGCAGACAGGAGGAGGTGGTGGTTGAAGGGGTTTTGGGAGCGACACTTGGATCAGATAAATTTGATGAATTTAATGGTGACATGAACAGGGGCCAAGGTTCAGGGTCTTAACACATGTTTAAATTCTACAGTGGAATGCAAGAAGTCTTTTAGCAAATGGACAGGAGTTCAAAATATTTCTTGATCTTAAATTCTCACCTTAAATTGTTTGTATACAGGAGACGTGGCTGAAACCCTGTTTGGACTTTGATATGAAAGTATCAGGTTTGATAGATAAGACCAGTCAGGAGGAGGATGTGCTACATTTATAAGGAGAGATGTGCAATTTCAAAAATGTCATTTAAGAACTTCCCTTGAGTGTGTGGGAGAGATGGGTGGAAGTATATAGTAAACTTTTATAATCCGTATTTACAAATTAAAGGTATAGATTTGGAGGAAGTCAAAGAGCTAGTGGGTCGTCCTGTGGAAGGGGATTTTAATGCTCATAATCCATTATGGGGAAGCTTAAGCAGGGATGCTTATGGAATAGTAGTGGAAGAGTATATGGATGAGTGTGACCTGGTGTGTATGAATGACGGGAGGGCTACTAGATAATATTCAGACGGGGATGTGTATTGGGTGTATTGACTTAGCACTTGTGTCCAGTGAGTTTGCTAGAGTGGGAGAGTGGAACGTATTGAATCAGTGGAATGTGGGGAGTGACCACTACCCAATAATTCTAAAATTTGGAAGGAAATTGGTTACCAGGGATGGGGAATACCCATAGTATTTGAATTATGGAACGGCAGATTGGGAAAGGTTTTACAGCCTCTGTGACAATCAGTGTAGAGCAACAAATGATCGTGGAACTCTAGACAAATGGAGAGGAAGTTGTGTAAGGTTATTATAAATAATGCATTAGTGTGTATTCCCCTAAGCTGTCCAAAGAAGAGAGTGCCTGTGCCAGGGTGGAATAAGCTTTGTGAGGAGGCAGTGAAAAACAGGAATCGTTCATTTAGGTTGTTGAGGAAATATCCAACTCAGAGGAGAGCAGTTGAGAATAAGAGGTTAAGGGTTAAGGCCAGAAGAGTGATTAAAGAAGCTAGAGGTCTGCTCCCGGTAAGGATGGTGTTAGCTATGAGATCTTCAAGAGAGTTAGTGACAGTGTGCTGGATGAACTCCTTGCTCTAATTAATAATACTTGGGAAGAGGGGATTATCCCCAAGTCATGGAAACAGGCAGTAGTTGTGCCAATTTTGAAGCCAGCTAAAGAGCCATCTCAGTGATGGAGCGGATGGTGACGTATAGATTGGTATATACGTAAATTAGAGCGAGAGGGTAAGTTTACTAGTGTACAAAGTGGTTTCTGGAAAGGTAGAGGGACTACGGATGCTGTTGTGTGTCTGGATGCAGATATTAAAAAAGCCATAGTTAACAGGGAAGTTTTAGTGGCCGTCTTTTTGGATATTGAAAAAGCATATGACCATATGACTTGGTTATAAAATTACATGATGCAGCAATTAGAGGGCGGATGTTAAATTGGGTTAGGAACTTTCTTCAACAAAGAGGTATTCAGGTGAGGGCGGGAAGCACTTTATCTAATGGGACGTTGATTGATAATGGGACCCCGCAGGGGAGTGTGATCAGTCCCGTTTTATTCAATATTATGGTCAATGATATGTTTGATGAGGTTGGACCTGGATTTGGAACATCCCTGTTTGCAGATGACGGGGCTGTCTGGAAGCGAGGTCGCAATGTAGATCCTGTCATGGCTCAAGTTCAAGAGAGCTTGCATAAAATTGTTGGTTGGGGACAGATATGGGGTTTTAAGATTTCTATTGATAAAACTAAATATCTAGTGCTTGGTAACAGAACAGTTAAAGATCAGGGTTTGAACATGTATGGGCAGCCAATTGAGAGGGTCAAGTTTTTTAATTTTCTTGGTATTATATTTGATGAGAGGCTTACTTGGAAAAAACAAATTAAGTGTATTGTTAACAAATGTGAAAAGGTGATGTGTTGCGTTTACTTCAGGGGTTAAAGCAAAAAAAAAAGATTTGACTGAAAATGTTCTCATGGAAATGTATGATTATTATAATTTATGTTGTAAATCAGTCATATGCAGGACCAAGTTATATTCTTAATTACAATATATTATTGTATAATGAATTACAGATCAAATGAATTCTTCAAAGATATACATTTAAACTGGTGTATTTTGATGTGAAATTACAAGTGGATTAAGCAACTTGTCAACTTTTTGACAGAATATTAGTGAGAGTAGTTGCATCTGCTTCAATGGCTTTACTTGAGGCGAGATGAGGCGTCAACACTGTCCTCGTCAAATTATCGCAAAAGGACATTCAAAATTTGTTTGTGGACTCTCAATGTTTAAGAAAAAAGTTTCCTTATCAACTTGGTGGCTAGTGCATAGTGCAATTTGATCAACCGCAAATGATTACTGATTTAATTAAATTTACCAGCGGTAGTGATGGTTCTGAACGACAGGTTATTTTCTGCGATAAGGCAACAGATATTTTTAGGTCACAGACACGGTCCGCTATAGCAAGCCTAGTCTCAGTTGTCGCTGAATCTGATGCACCAGGTAAAGATGAAGTGTGGGAAAGTGTACGGACAGCTGCCTTGTGCGCAGTTTTGAGCTAGTGGCGAATCCAAAGCCGTTTTCTCATTACTCCCATATAAAAAAAAAATATGGCAAAGTACGCACAAGCACCGGCCACCTTCATCTTTTTGCACCATGAAGCAACAGAATCCCATCGTCTCCACCTCATCCAGCCATGCCCACCTCCATTTATTTTTCACTCCGTTATCAATAGCAACTTATACTGCTCCTTCTTCCATATACAACGATCCATGATTGTGATTGTGCGTGCATGCTAGGCTAGCGTTGATAAATGAATAAGACGCGCTCACACACTACACCACACCTTTCTTCAGAAAGTTTCTTCCGTTCGCTCTCGTTGATTGGCTCTTTTTTTAATCACCCTGAGTTTTGCATGCGGATCGCAACCAATACATTATCAAAAGCTCAC